GCGGACACTGCCTTGAAGCATCGAGCTGAGTTTGCTTTTGCTCAGCTTGAGAACGAGAGATCTCTGACATCTCTTCGTGACGAGCTAAGGGTAGCTCGTGGGATTGTTGATCGGTCTCGGGATGAGATAACTGCTCTTCAGACCCTTGTCGATGCCCACCATCGGGAGCACAAGGCTCTCTGCGAGATGCTTGAGCGCAAGGGCGTTCTTCATCGGAAGAAGCAGCGTACTGATGGTACGGCTTAAGCCGACCAACGTAAAACATGAGATGCGTTCGCATCTTACGTGGTAACTCGATCGTGTATGCATTGCCTAGGCGGTGCAATACACGAAATGGGCCAATGTACTTGGGTAGAAGTTTACTACTACCCAAGTTAGTCACTACATGCTTTGGTAGATTAACCGTAGACAGTAGGACTAAGTCACCTTTATTAAATAAAAGAGTGTTTGCCCTTCCATTCTTATCAGCGTTTTGCTTTTGCTTATCCACCGCTTCGGCGATGGAGTCTTGCACAAAACGGACTACCGTTTCACGAGCCAGTATGAACTCATCTGATGACTCGTTAGCTTCAGTGCGCTGTGAGCGCACTGCAGCAACATCAACCTTTTCTTCAGTGAGGGCTTCCGCACTCTCACTGGGATCATCTTCTTCAGTGAGGGCTTCCGCACTCTCACTGGCATCATCTTCTTCGATATCGATGTTATCGATATCGGCATCAAACGCAATGACCTCTTCGTCAGAGCGTGATAAGCGTGAACCAAATCGGTTTTTGCTCGCGCGAGTCCCCCCCTTAAACCAGACTTACACTCTAGTAAGGTGGGTACACGCGGATGGCGCAAGCCATTCACGTAAAACGGTGTATGTGTCGTGGACGCATGCACCGAGTTGTTAATGGCAAACTCTACCATTGGCAAAAACTCACTCCAACTCTTAAAGGAGTGTACGTATCCTCGAAGTATCTCTTCAAGGACACGATTGGCACGTTCCGTCTGACCATCTGACTCTGGATGATCAGATGTCGACATCTTCAAGCGCGTTCCGAGTGATTTGAACACGGAACGCCAGAAATCAGCAGTGAATCGTGGATCTCTGTCTGATACGAGTTCACGGGGCAACCCATGAAGTCGGAAGATGGTGTCAATAAAGACACAAGCACAGCCACTTGCCGTGATTGTCTCTGGTACAGCCACAAGGTGTACCATTTTGCTGAATCTGTCAACAAATACGAGAATACTCGTATTCTCGCGTGCGTCTTTGGGTAACCCGAAGACGAAATCCATTGAGATGGATTCCCAGCACTCAGCCGGAACCGGTAGAGGCTGTAAAGGTGCACGCAGTGAAGAGCTTGACTTCACTCTTTGGCAGACTTCGCATGCGCGAACATAATTTCGCACAAACTGATACTGGCGGGGCCAGTAAAAGTCTCGACTCACCGTGAGATATGTTTTCTCTCGGCCACGATGTCCTCCTATAGGAGCATCGTGATACTCGAACATGATCCGCAAACGCAGATCAGTATCATCTGGAATGACAACACGTGGTGTGTCACCAGAAACGGCTGTATAATACAGTAAACCGTTACGAGTAGTGTATCGATCTGCATCAGATCGATACGCAGACGATAATCGTTTCAACGATTCTCGAGATGGTTGGGAGAGATGTGTCAACAACTTCACAATCTCACCATCTTGGGCGTATGCCCGCCTCACATCATCATACAACGTTGTAGATGGGACTGAGGACGTCATAACCGCAACAGTGACTGTCTCACTGTTGGGTATCGCGACTATTTTAAAGTCGGGACGACGTGAGAGTGCATCAGCGACGACATTAAGTCGTCCTGGTTTGTACTCGACCGTAAAGTCGTATTCTGCAAAGAATGACAACCACCGCGCCATTCGTTGTGAAAAATGCGGGCTGTTCACTGCCGTGCGTAATGACGCATGGTCAGTGTAAACAATGAAGGGTCTATCTCCTAATAGATAGACTCTGAACTTCGCGAGTGCATACTTCATGGCAAGGAGTTCCTTGTCATGCACTGGATAGTTCCGCTCAGCTGGTTGCAGCTGACGCGACTGATAGCATACGACGCGTTCAACGCCTTCAAAATCGTACTGCATTAATGCACAGCCGATTGCGAAATCGCTGGCATCACAGACCACATGAAATGGCCTGTCCTGATCGGCAATTGTTAGGACTAGGGATTTTATCAAGCTCTGCTTAATGCCATCAAACTAGCGCTGACATTCAGCGTTCCATAACCACATCTCGTTCTTTTTCAACAAACGAGAGAGGTGCACAGTCATTTCGGCGTAATTGCGTGAATACTTATGCAAATACGCCGCTAGCCCAAGGAATTTTCGAAGACCTTTGACATCAACCGGCACAGGCCAGTCGGTGATCGCCTTGATCTTTTCGGGATCAGGACGTACACCGTTCTTACCAACGATGCACCTAAGAAGTGGTAATTCGCTTGCTGCAAATATACACTTCTTGAGGTTTGCATACAATTGATGCTTTCGCATGATTGTAAGAACCTGTCGGACGTGGTACCTGTGAACCTCAACGTCCGACTTTCCATCCATAGCTCGACTATGGATGAATACGTCATCGAAATAACCCGGCGCGAATTCTCGTACTGGTCTCAACAGATGTGATACACATCTGTTGAACGTGGCAGGGGCATTACTAAGCCCTTGTGGCATTACTAGCCATTCCCAGAGCATGCCGCTAGGCGTGCTAACTGCGGTATAGGGTATATCCCGTTCTCGCATAAGGATTTGAGAGAAGCCATCCATCAAATCCATGGACGAAAAGATGGTGCTCTTTGACATACCATCAATGATTACGTCCTTCCTCGGTATCGGCGTCCGAGCCGGTACCGTTGCAGCATTCAACTTGTTGAATGCATGCACTATCCGCCACCCTCCTGTTGCTTTTCGCACACAGAAGGTCGGAGAGCTATGTGGGGAAGTTGATTTCCTCACATGGCCCGCAGCTAAACGATCGGCAAAGAACTTGTCGATCGCAAGTACTTGTTCACGAGGCAGTGGCCACTGCTTCATGACACAGTACTTCGAGCCTGGTTTAAGCTCGACCTCGTGTCGAATACCTTTATCCTTCGGTAATTCGCACGGAACAGTTTCAGGGAATACATCCTTGAATTCAACCAAATCTTCATAGAGAGGATTTATCTTGAGCGATTCCCATGATTGGGAGTCATATCGCTCAATTCGTGTCTTTTCGTCTAGGACACTTTCGTCCATAAATGAATTACTGAGAACTCTCTCGTTCTCAGTAAACACTGTTGCTGACCTTATGTCGGTTACACACTCGTCGTCAGCGACGAGTACGCAGATCTGCTTGACTTTGCCACTACGCAGATCACGCAAGAACCTTTTATGCTCGAGCGTTGGCAATTGAGTGATCTCCGAAGTTAACTTCGGAGGCGCAATCAGATCAAGTGTATAAGCGCCTACACTTGATCCGTTATTGACTATGACATTCAATGTCTCTGTCATTTCCTGGGGACTTATTCCCTCAGGCTTCGAGGGACTTATTCCTTCGGCTTCCCGGGGACTTATTCCCGCGGGTTTCGGGGAACTTATTTCCGCCGTATTTGTAATCTTGGGACTTATTCCCTTTACTTCCTCTAGCTGGGGTTGCGCAACCACAGCGAGATCCTCTACGAAAGACTCTCCAGTCGATCTAGGATTATCGTTCCGCTTAACCTGAGCGATCGATTGTTTCTCTTCTAGATGTTCCCCGCTAGGTATACATCTTTGTCCCAGTCCAGCCGACTTATTCGAGTGGTGGACCTTCGCGCAGCCTGTGTTTCCTCACAGCCGCCGGAACTTTGCTCCGAAGTGTAACCGTTTGTTACACTAAGGTTTTGTGCAGTCGTACTAACGACCGTACCACAAGTGAGGCCATCGCACTCACTCGTAGTACATCCACACGCTTGTGGACGCTCCAAAACGTTCATCAGATGGCCATCTGGTGAACAAACGGCAGGCATCGTTACTGTTCGATGTTGCCAGTTTACCCGTGGTTCGTACCTTCTGAGCCACGGTATTCCAAGGATGACATCAAATTTGTCATCCAAATCCAATACGATAAAGTCATCGTCATATTGGGTATCTTCTAGCGTATAGTGGATCTTCACTATACGCTTCATGACGGTTACGGATGCGCCTGTCGCAAGACGTACCGTCATCCTCGTAGGAGGTGTGTCACATTCACTGAACTTAAAGTAACCATCTTCTAGCGATTGGCGTTGCACAAAATTGTTGGGCGCCCCACAATCGACTAGAGCTCGAAGGGACAACTTATTCGTCACTTCGAGTTTCAAGGTAATGAGTGAGACCTCATTACCTAGAGCAGCAACGCACAACGTTTGCGTGTTGGGAGCAACCTTCATCAAGAGGCCTACAAATTCTCTTGACGTTGCTGGACCAGTAGGGCGCTCCGCACCTACTGATCCTGTCCGTTTTTGGACGGTCCATCCCGTTGTTGCGTCTTTGCACCAACAGCGGACCCTCGTCCCTGCCCCTTTTCATGGGTGGACGGTCACTACGTCCAGTGTCGCGAGACACTGGACGAGGGGCACTACCCTCATAAGCGTAGTGTCCTGTCTTTTGACATCTGTTGCATCTCTGCAACTTCTTGTAGCCTGTAGAGCGAGCCTTCTCGCTCTCTACATAACAGAGTTCCATCGGCTCTGGACCTCCGTTGTCATATCGTCTCGGTTGACGATATGATGTCGAGGTGGCGCGAGCCTGTCTCAGACTGAAGTCTTCCTGCTCCGCAATGGAAATGGCTTGTTCTAGTGAATCTAGTTCAAGCCGGAACAGGTGAGTCTTGACGGGACCATCCGCAAGACCCTGCATGAACACCGAAACCAACGTGTGTTCATCCACCGGATTGGAACTTATACAACTCGTGAGATGTCGTATATGTTGCGCGTGAGCGTGCACATCACGCTTACCCTGCTTGAGCTTCAAGAGTTCGGTTCGAGCTCCGACTCAGCTCTAGGCGGTTCAAACGTTTGTCTGAGCCGCGACTTGAAGACTTCCAACGACCCAAACGCATATGGGTCGTGCAACTTGAGCCCCAGTGCCCAAGTCTTGGCACGTCCTGCCAGATTTGACTGAGCAAATGCAACTTGCATATCCCCGTCGTCGATGCGACGCGCCCTTATGGCGTCATCCAATTCGACGAACCATCTCAAGAGGGAGTCCTCTTCGACTCCCCTATACTTGGAGATGTCAATCTTCAAGGTTTCGGGTCGACGCGAATGCATCGACTCACCAGCAGCAGCCTGCTGCTGTCTCAACAGTTCAAACTGTTGAGCACCCTGTTCTCTCAACAACTCTGCTTGTTGAGAACCTTGTTGGTGAGGCAAGGCTACTTTCTCGCGTTCTGCGTCAAGTTCATTTTGAATGAACTTGGCGATAGTAGCATGTTGGGCATCTCTATTGAGAGCCTCTAGCATGACGCTAACAGCATGGATGCCCATGGTCGAACCCATTCGTTCAACCGCATCCCATTCGACATCGCTCAAATGGGAGTAGCCGTCACGCGTAGCGTGAAAGCTTTGGTCATCTTTATCATCCAACATATTCATGTTGGATGTGAACGCGGTCCTTGGACGGACTACAAAGTGCTACCAGGTGTAACGGGGCACCCTGAAGCTTGTACTGGTGACAGTACAAGCTACTTATTCTGATGACAGAATAAGGCGGTGCCGCGTAACTTCACGTACACTCGTACGTGTAGAGGAAGACGGTAAGAAGAAGCGAGTACTTAGTTTAAGTAAAAAGTAGAACTGTAGTTATAACAGTTAATGCCTGTTAATAAATCGCTATTTATCCTCATCTAACTATGTATGAATACAAATGCGCATATCAATTATCTGCTCACCACTCATTGCGTGCGTCTGTCGTGGCGCGTCTTCGTTGGTTGATATAATGGCCTATATCAACCAATTAGGAACTACTCGTAAGTGCTACAGAATATTTGTCCTTATGACAATATTCTATGAAATATAACTCTTATAGTTATATTCTATTAACAATTTCTTATAAATTGTTATGTAACGATTCACCCCGTTACATTCCTTCATTGCAAGATTCGCTCGGTTGCTTTGAGATCCCCTGAAATTACTTCATAGAAGCTGTTTGACAATGCGGTCATCGAAGATCTTCAATTGCAGATCCATCAGTTGCGGTACCGGAAATCAATGTACATCAGAGTCCTTCTTAATTAACCTGCTGAGGGGGAGGTCGCCTGCACACCAGGTGAAGATTAAATCGTCGCTGAGCACCTTCGACCTGATCAAGTGAAGGAACAGGAAGATGATACGGAAGGTCTTCCTCGTGTTATGTCATCTCAGGCATCGATGCCACGCAGACGCTCGAAAACCTTTGGTTGCAGCAGCCAGACAATAACCAGGACTTCCTTATAAGTTTTCAGCAAATGAAGTATAAAATTGGGAAGATCGGAACTAACCATCTGGTGCGGAAGACATCTTAAAATTCTTTCCTAAGGCCCATTAACTGCTTTGCACTCAATTTTAAAGTCCTCATTACAGTGAGTATTAGTTTATTAATTTTTAAGATCAGCCTTTGGCTATCGTGTATCAGTTTAGGGGGTTACATTACATGTACTATGGGTCCTAAGTCGGGACCAGAAAAGAATATTACCTTGAACACGTAATTACATTAAAAAGCAATTCTTAAAAACGGTTCTACTCTATCACGGTTTTTCGCTTGAGTGCCTTATCATCATTACTTTCCTCAATTTTTGATATTCAACCCTCCTCCTCTTTCCGTTGCAAGTTCGAGCTAATTCGGACGTCCTGGGTCGATAGAAATCGCATAAGGCATATCATTATTCTGAGTATGCAATCTCACGATTCAAACACCTGGCTTGTGATTTAGCCCCGTCTCAGATACCATGATTTTTAGAGCTAAGTTGTGCTAACCGCTATCTTAAAGAGAATGCGCACTATTTCGTTCGTCCTCATCAGAATTTCTACTAGTAGTTGCAGTCGACGTTTTCTCGCGCCGTACAAGACTTCTAGTCATCGACGGTATTCGGATCGGGGAATACTGACGTGCTTTACATCAAGTTTAATTAGGTTGCCGACGTCTGCGCTTCTGCACGTGAAACATCAGCGAATGTTGAAATGTTCGCAGATCAAACTATGCTTTCACGTCCGAATCTGCGTAAATGAGGTCCATTAAATTAGGTCTCTTGAGTAAACACAAAGCACTACACCAATTTGGCTTATACTTATGCGCACCATGATGGTCTGCCTTCCATTTCGATTTTCAGCGTTCAACACGACACCCACAGCCGACGTTAAGTAGATCGGGCGGACCTGATATCCATTTACATTGGCTGATAAATTCAACTAACCTTTATATGTGTGGTTGCTAGAATTTTCCGGTAAGTTGTAATTATGATTGGCAGCGATGAGAGTTCTCACCTCTCGAAAGTGTGGTTGAGTGGCGGTCGATTGTTCAGTAAAATAATTCGATTCTTTACTCATGCCGGGATGATCGACCAACGGAGGGGGTACTTCGATACCATGCGCTTTGTTTCCCTTGTAACCTTGTGTACATGTCGTCGGGGCGAATTAAAGTGTCTGGGAAGGAAATAGACTTGACACGGGACTCGAAGATAAAGAAATTTGATTTCGGTTATGTATTTCTTGCTCACCCATTCCTATAATTTTTGGCTTTCTACAGAGTCGCCGTGATTCACTTTAATCACAGTATGAGATGAATGGAGATACTGGATTTTACTTGCATTAGAATCAATCAAGCCGTTTCTCTATCTTCATTGCGTGTCTCGCTGCGTTTTATTGCATTTATGCGGAGGTTTGAGAGTCCTTAGAATTTTAGCGAGCAGTTCGTGGAGTTGAAGCACTTGCATCGGAATTGAGATCTCTAACGTCTCATGGCTATAATTATTAATCGGAAAAAGAACGACACAAGTGCTCTTACAAGCATACTAACTTCGTTTATATATAAACATTGACACCCATTAACCAACATTATGCGAGGTTAGGTTGCCAAATGTCCTCCAAACTTCAACGATTTTTCGTAACGATGTGTGGTTCACGCTATTTTTGTCTTTTCGTGGCCAATTGTGCGATCACTACCCGAATTTGTGATCGTGATCAAGTCTGCGATCACTATAAAACGCGAACACGAACAAGTTGGCGATCATGGACAATTATCGATGAAGATCAAATTAATGGCCTTGTCTGACACGCACATTTACACAATCGTCTGAAGTACCCGAGAATTTTTTTAAGTTTCTCCCAACCATCACATGTGGTTACATCACATCATTATGCCATGTGAAAATCGAGATTTACTTGCAATCCGATAAATTATTACAACTTACACTCAGATTCTATGCATACAAATTTCTTTATTAAGATAATGATACGGCCAGCACAATCAATTTTAGTCCGTAATCGTTAAAAATTTCCCTCTTGACCTTCTGTATCGTGACCGGGGACGAGCGTCTGCAACCCGTATTATACACGCTTATCTAAACGCAATTAGCAATCTATCATGATAATTTAGTGTACGATTGTGTTGCAGCAGGAAGTAGGACGATTTAGATCAGCAGCCGCGGTCGGACGACATGACCGAAACTTGGATTAAAACTTAATCACTGATTAGGCAGTATTATATACTTCTTGTCGTCTGAGTTTCATCATCCGCTGACTCAACAAATTTGGGAGACCATATCACTACTCGCTATTTCTTTCATCATCATCCCGCTCGCTTTTAGGTCTTGGAAAACGTATCGGTTGGTAGACCTCCCTTGTCCTATTGCTAGCGTCTCGAAGTTATTCAAAATGCACAATTCTTCTTTCGAGATGTCCATGATCACTTCCCCATAGGTACAGTCTAGCAATCTTTTATAACCCGGCGGGCAGCTCAGCAGAGGAAACGTAGGCAATATGCTTGATTAGGGGAAATAACTAAGGATCACTGATATTTCATAAGATATCATCTAAGATAGCTTTGTTCAGTCATGAAAAACGTAAGCGTCCAATACATCGGGCACGACCACTCAATGACGAATGGAACAAGCTAACTCGCTGTTTCTCGATGAAATGTTTACTGAAGTCAAGTACACTTCCGTATCTCAACCACAAAAATGGATACCTTCCCTGCATTCCTGAGCGTGTTATGCACTTTAGACTAGTGTGCGATCCTTTGGCCCTTCACTCGGTATTAGAATAGATCGAGTAGGTATATCAGATATCTTGTGGCCGTGGACCTGTCCGATTAGTGTAAATAAAAGTATCAATGAAGGCCTTAAAACGGGCACAAGTCTATTTTGCTCCTAGTGCAAAAACTAGATCCGTTTGCCCATTCCCGACTAAAGATCTAAGCTTTCAAGCGCTTAAGATTCCTCGGAAATATGATTTAGTTCATCCTTATGGAGGATTGTAAAGAAAGAATACGGTGTGATCGATTACGAGTGATTTAAAAGGGACTATCTCTACCCTCACTCTTTTGTCAGTGGGAGACTATTAACTCTGAAGTATCTTAGTGTAAGAAATACGCAGGTAGAGACTCAAATGGTATGAACTCTTTATAGACAAAACGAGGCTCTTCTTTCAAGTTTAAAATAACAAGCTCTTGCGCTTCCAGTCTTACACTAAGGAACATACCGTCAGCAGATATCACGTGGCACCGACGCCTAAGAGAAATATATTCGATGTTGTTTGTAACTCTTACGATTAACTATTTCCTCAAAGTATTGATCTTTTGAGTTACAGATAGCACAAAGCACGTGTCAACTATTAAAAAAGGTAACTGAATAATCTAAGGATTTTGATACGACAGTAAACATCACCTACAAGTATAGCCTATTGACACTTCTACCAATCTAGAAAATGTAATATAGGTTCTCTTATAGTTACCACGTCAATATTTACTACGTACTTATAATGTCTTTACACGGTAAATACGTTCGTAATCGATAAAGTACATTTTACTCGCTATCGTATTAGATAAAATTACGCCTATCAGATACAATGATCTACTGCGTGCATCATACGAAAAATACCGGTTACACCAACCGACATGTGACGCTGCTACATTTTCCTGAGGCAATGATAAAAAAATATTAAATTAAAAGCGACGGAGCATTCTCGTACGTATTGCGCGTGACCTGGGAGTCGTTCGTGTTCTGGTTCGTCTCGCGAATTAGATACGAAAAAATTCAGGACTGGTCAAACTCAACTTTAAGATGTTATCATTCTCAAGTCACGCACATTTACAACGAGTTTTCTTTGTCACCACAATTTTGCTCAATTCACGTACACTGTCAACGAGCTTTTACATTCACAACAATCGTACTTTTTGTATTACGTTGCCGCTTGCCACCATGCGCATCTTGTATTTATTTCAGCGTTTAATAAATACTGTGTGTAGTCGTTAATCCAGATTCGTTCTCATCCTTTACAAATCTGCGTCCTAAACAGTATACACAACGTCATGATTGGGTTTGTAACGGAGTAAGCCTGTTACATGTAAATAACTCTGATACTTGTTGATTAAAATATGTTTTTAAAGGTTAAAAGCATTC